CTATACTGATTAGAGCTCTCAAGAACTGCCCTCAATGTTGTGCTTTGCCTCTGGTCACTTCCTGTCAGCACCTGTGTGTCCAATCAGACTCAAAGCTGATCGTTTGCTAAGTGAATTGTAGGTTGAATTATTTGGCATAACCAATGTGATAAGTGAAAACAGGGTTGCTATAAGTGCTTTCACATGAAAGGGGGGGGGGGGGGGGGTATTGGCAACACATGACCAATTATTAAAAGGACAAGTCTGCCGTCAGGAGATCGTCATAATTCACAAACTCAGAGCATGTTAGCCATGTTGCCATTTTGTTTTCTGGAGCCAGACCATATTTGAGAGAGTGTGAATATGCACAACTTATCCTCTAAACTGGATGAACCCCATCCCTGAAGCTTAAGTCTTCCATCATCTATAAGGATCAAAATCCTACTTAGACAAATAATGTTGTCCAGAGAATAATGCAAAATGTATTGGCAGAGGAAAAGAGTTAAATTGTAAATTGTAAAAAGTCATGTTACCCGTAAATTTAACGCCAGCGCCGCACAGTTTGGGGCCATTCGCTGCCACTCTAGACAATTCTCCTATTTCCAGAGCACGCATCACTGTCCATCTCTGGAGCATGCATCAAACTGAAAACAGGTTAGATCAACTAGGACAGGAAGTCAGACAAGGACACACAGAGAGCATCCTGTCAATTTCAAAATAAAAGACGATAGAAAGACTCCTGATCATATATTACATCACTTTATCAACAAAATATCAAATCTCTTTATGTCCCACATGTTCTTGTAGTTCTCCTGTGAACCTGTATGTACAGCTGCTCATGGCTTCACTCGTTCTCCAGAAACTGACCCAGTCAGAGCAAAACCCTAGTCCTGACAGAATGCAGCAGGCATGGACTAAAGGTGCGTTTAAGAGTCCCATATAAGACAGAAACAGAAAACTGAGTTATAAATGTGGCAGAGGGTTGGGCTCCGTCATTCATTTCAGCAGCAAAGAAACATCATCCCCGCCACTTGTTGTCCCAAAGTTCTCTTTTTAACAAAAATAGTATTTTCTTTCAATAGTTATCTTCATGACATTTCACTGAGCCTTCTCAAGGTGCTTCTATTCCATCACTGACTCTCACTTCTGCACATATTTTCTAAGAACACACCCACAGTCCAAGTAAACCAGGGAAGGGGTTATGACCTGTTAGCCAATGAGAGGTTGAGGTCAATCAAAAACACATTTTAACCGTAGTTCAAAATGGATTTTACATTTTTGTAATTGAGGGGTCGCAGGTTTTGAGCTATTGATTTGAAGAAATTGAATGAGCTTGTGATGAGAACTTTCAAAATGTTGTGACATCGTGGACTAATCGATAAATGGAATCATCTGCGAAGGTTTCCTCTGTGTACGGTTTTGCAAAAAGCCATAGAAACAAAGTTTATGCCCGTACTCGCCATTCACGCGTCAAACAGGCCGTACAGTATGGGGATAAGTTGTCGAGGTTAATGGGTTTGTTGTGAGACATAATTCATCCAGCGACACAAAGTAAACAAGCTTTGTCTGCGTCTCGGCGCTCTCCAGCCTCGGCCCTGCATCATCTTTCATGTGGGCAAGCTCCATCACCGCGGCGAGCGCAGAGGGAAGAAAGATATCAGCTCGTGTGACATCTGATTTCATTTCAGCGCCGCGTACATACACAAGCACACACACACACGTGCACACACACACACACACACACACACACACACACACACACACACACACACACACGCACACACACAGAAACAAAAGCAAAGCGACCATTTGTGCCTCTGCTTGTGGCTCTTGAGATGAATGGATCCCAGACGAGGCCACTGTGGCATGAAATGCTGAGATGTAATCATCTTCTCACAACAGGATGCTGCTTCATGAGAGGGGAATGAACTTCAATGTCTCTTTCACTTCTTTTATTGCCGGCTGCCTTGAGGTTTTTCTCTTTACCAACCCTGCTTTTTAACTTTGTCCCCCGTGCCTTTGATTTTGTGAAGGAAATCAAAGTAATTGAAAATTTTGACTGATTCAAAGATCCACCACTTTCTTAGACTGAAATCCTCTGGCGTGTAAACATGAGTTCAGACCTTTTCTCGTGTTGTTGTTTTTTTAGATATTAAGGCTTTTCAAGTTTTTGCTTTGCTTTTATGAATAAACATTAGACAAATAGATATACTGTGACCATTAGCCCCTCGGTATAGACCTAAAAAACTTGACAAAAGAATGAGAATCATGGTTTTTGTTCATTGATAGTTCAGGGAAGTCGGTCGAAATGGAGTTGAAGTATTGCAGATATGTCAATGTAAAGAGGTAACGTTTGTCTTTTGTTGTTTTCTATCTGTTGGTTGTCTTGAAACAAGTAAAGCAAAATCAGTTGTTTGATTTTTCATTTTTTGTTTCTGACATAAATCGATTGGTTTAAGAGAGAACACAGAACAAAGTTCCAACTTATCCTTCCAAACCAAATTCTATCAAACATGAGCCGTCATACCACTAACCTCCAGGACCCTCCACTGGTTGCCTAGAGATAGTCCCACCATAGTCGTGCAACGTCGAGCTTCCCACCACAACATCAAAATGGAAAATGTTAGATTCTGTCTTAAACGTGTTGTTAAACGTTGCTGGGTAGCAGATTTATTTGTCTATGATCAGAGCACAGGTCGGCAAGTTTTTGAGGGCGAGTACCAATAAGTAAGTCTCAAGCCCAGCGGCTGTGGCTCAGTGGTAGAGTTGGTCGTCTCTCAACCAGAAGGTCGGGGGTTTGATCCCCAGCTCCCGCCACATGTCCGATGTGTCGTTGGGCAAGACACTTAACCCCAAGTTCCTCCCGCTGCAAGAGTTTCAGTACAACACTGTATAATCACACTGTGTCCCAACTGACAGAATATAATCTACTGTACATGAACAGTGTGTGTGTGTGTGTGTGTGTGTGTGTGTGTGTGTGTGTGTTCAGCTCATCTCTGTATTTACACAGGTAGTTGAACACTAATGTTTCTGCTCACTAGCAAAGGAAAGACAAGGCAGCTTTATTTATATAGCACACTGCAAACAAAGAGGCAATACAAAGTGCTTTATATGAACAAATGAACAGAAGCACATTCTCAGCATTTTAGTGTTTTCTGTTTCACCACAGTATGTGAGTTTGTTTTCTTATGCTGCTTCACCTTCATTTACACTTCAACCTTTATATCTGTTTTCTAGATCTGGTTCAGTTTGTTAAAGGATATATTAGTTGTGCATTAGTTGAACCTTCGTTCCTGTTACTTTTTTTATTCTATTGTTACTTTCCTCCTCTAGTGAGAGCGACAGTCATCATTTAGCATCATATTGTTCATTAAAGGTGACATATTCTCCTCCTTTTCAACCAGTTTAAAGTCTCAGAGCTCCTCAAAACATGTCTGTGAAGTTTCTTGTTCTAAATCCACTCTGATCCTGTATTTTTACAGTGAGAGGGCAGACTCAGAGCGCACAAAAAGTCACCTAGCTGTCACCTACTTCGGGGAGGGGTTACTGCCCTTTGTGATGTCATTAAGGTAAAAATCTGCAAACGGCCTGTTTGAGCACACATTTTCTGAAAAGTGGAACAGGCAAAAGACAGAGAGGATGGACTTTTGTCATCATAGGGGGGTTTGTAGACAGACAAAGGACACATGAGTGTTTGAAAACCGCATGATATGTGACCTTTAATGTCTGGAAAGTATTTTTTAATGTCTTTTTTTGTTTAACTCCATCTCCATTGTTGCCCATTGGAGATGAAGTTTGTCCTTTCACCACTTTTCTCTTGTTCTATTATTTCCGGAGAACTACTTCTCACTTCCCCCCTCTAAGACGGAGTTATTGATCAAACGACCCGTGACAGAAAGCAACATGTTCCTGAAGCCTTCTGGTTATTTGCCCTGCGGCTGCAGCCATCATGCCACTCATCAAACTATGTCTTACTTCTGTCACTGAGCTTTGATTACTTTTCTGTGTGCAATCACTCCGACGCGGGATGAGAGCTTTCCTTTGCAATATGTTCCCCTGACCTTTATGACTTAAATGAAATGGATCATTTTTCTACACGTCTTTGCTCACACTTGATGAACTGTGAGCTTAAAAAACCAGAACACACTGTGCTTTCACATCTTAAACATATTTCTGAAACATAAACAGATGTAACTTTGTTGTTACCCTGAAGTGTCCTCCAGGGAAATCATTAGCACAGATATATAATCACTGTGGTTTTTTATGCATGACCAAATTCCTGCAGAACCTTTTTCAACTTTTCCAGCTTCAGTGAAACATTTTTTTCATCACTTAATCGAAATGTCAGCATGCTCAGGAATGGTTAGTTTGTGCACTTCATGTACAGAGGCTGTTAGTTCTCAAAGTGGGCGTCCTAGGACAGAGCTTGGAGGACTATGCCTCCTCTCTTGGGATGCGCACACTAACCGCTAGGCTACCGGCGCCCCTGTTTGTTCTGTTTTTAAAGGAAGTTTAGCAAGGACTCAAAGAAAGACTGAAGAGCTTTGCAAAGTGACTTCCTGAAGGTGGTTGATTGTCAGTGGACCGTCCAGCAGTAGTGCTTACTCCTTCATTAGATGGAGGGTGTCTTCTTCACAGCCTTGGTGTAACGCCGTTGTTAATGTACTTTAAGGCGTTTGGACTTTAAGATTGATCAGCTTGTAGGAGCTTGTTTTTCACATGTGAAGTGTTAAAAGTTCTGTTGGTAATCTTTTTAAAGGTGTTTATTCTTAGTTACTTCTTCTCTTCCCTGGGTTTTATTTTATTATTTTTATTCCCTTTAACAAATTAAATGGAGAGTAATACGTTGTTACCCTCTCTGGTGGGGGCGGGGCCTGATTGCACTCTATCCCTTTAGAGACATACAGATACATACATTTAAGAACCTCTCTTTTTTATGTATAAAATATAAGTAAACTCTAATATTTGAAAGGCTACTTGAATGTGTCTGCAGCACAGCTTCCTTAACATGCACTGTTCAGATGTGTTGGTTTGTCCTCTGAGACCGGTGGAGCGCTTCCGGGACCTTCAGCCCGACGAGGTGGCCGATTTATTCAGCACCACTCAGAGAGTCGCCGACCTGGTGGAGAAGCACTTCAACGCCACTTCGCTCACCATCGCCATCCAGGTAAAGCATCTTTTGTTATTGTTTTTACTGAGAGCCCCCTGGTGGCGGAAGTTACATAATGCCCCTTTAAAAAGTCTACAAAATAGAAAAAACGTACAATTTTAAAGTCTCAATAGATTGTTTATTTCACATCACAGAAAATACAATTTCTTAGATCTCCATAAAAGTCAAAATGACTTGAAAAGATAGAAACTTTGCTCTGCAGAGACCGGTTGGAACTTTCAATATGGATCAGCTCTGCTGTCTTATGACCCCCCCCCCATCACCACCACCACCATAGTTTATTGGAGGAACAGATCTGACTGTGACAGCCAGACAGGCTCTCGTCTCAGACTCAATGGCCTATTCTGCATAACTGGTGATATATATGCTAATATCGAAATAGCACCTAGCTCCCTGTCAGAGAGAATAGTTTCACAGGTTAGGAGAGAGAAAAAGAAAAAGCGGAGGAACAGAGCAAGCAGAGAGTCATCTTTACGTTGGATATCATTTTCTGTGACTGCGGAGGTGATGAGAAGTGATAATCGGAGATTAGTTTTGACAGCTCCCGGGTTACAGCTAACACATTAAAGGAGAGCTCTCTGCAGGAGGGGGCAACTGCCACTGCTGTGACAAATAATAATATCACACAAATCAACCTCACTGGAGGATTGGTGGTGAAAAATAGATTTTGGGGATGGTGACACGAATGCTCTATTTTCCTCTGAAGAAGAACAATGGAGTTTATTATATGTTTGAAGAAAACCGTTCATACACTCTCAGAGCTGATGTTTGATGTGTGTCAGAGGCCAGAAATCACCTTTTTAGAACTAATATCAGATCTCAATTAACCAAGTCTGATTGGAGTCAAGTGTAAAAATGATTCATTTGTAACAGAAGATGGTACACAAAGACCTGATGCAGATCGAACATGCAACATTTATTTCTTTTTATCGATAATTCTCTCAATATAAATGATCTCCGATTCAGTTTTCACAGCTGTGTTTGCAATCAAGGTGGGTGGGGAGGGAAGCCTGTAAAAAGAAAGAGAAAAATGTAAAATCACTTTTTTTTTTTTTTTAAAGCAATGTTTTTCTAAATGATTTCATCAATCAGTCATGAGTCTGATGGATGTCGGCACAAGGTTCAGCGCGACCTGACAGTTTATAAGAACCGTGCGACCTCTCACTAAATACTTCACGCTTCACGCAATCACGCTTCAATATAACCACCACTTTAGGCCCCGCAGTCCACTCAGCATTTGTCCGCACTGGTCGTGCTTTTTTGGCCGCTTGCATGAAGCATTTGTGCACTGAGAAGAAGAGTGCTGCATCCGTCCCGTCTCTATGACAACAGTCTGTTGATGTCAGCCGCTGTATGACGGATGAGGATGTGGGTACAAGAAACACAATCTGTATAGGTGGAAAAAACACGAGGTAATATCATTACATTTGGAAAAGAGTGCCAGTGACGTCAACAGCGCTTTTCTGAAAAGTTAAAAGATTTTTAATTGGAGGCACTCTGAGCGGTCGCACTCAGAAAAAAGGAGCAGAGCACTCAGGAAAAAAAGGTGCTGGGACCATGCTTTTTTCCTCCAGGTGTTCCAGCTGCTGCTGCTGGTAACACTCTCTGCTCATTGACAACAAGTGGAAAAAAAAGCTGGTGGACACAGGGCCTAATGCACTTCAACATGACCACGCTTTTAAGAACAGCGATGAAGTCCATTTCTCCACAAAACAAAAACCTGACACAAAATGTCCAGGAGTTCCTTCTTCAATTAAAACCATGTATACTTGGTGCACATTGCCAGGCTCCAAGTCTTTAGAAAAAAAAAAAGATCCAGTTAGATTTATCAAAACTAATTTAAAAGCTTTACAGTGAATAGTGTTTTGAAAAGTCATTCCACAATTCTATATCTGAATTCATCATCTGAATAAGAAGTACAACATTTCATTAACACCTCAGGATAAAAGAAGTCAGTCTGGTGGGTGTCAGAGGGGAGGAACAGCAGCTTAGTGTGAACAAGAAGAGGTCCAGAATAAAGAGAAGATGATCATTATAAATATTTCTGCATCTGTGTAGGATCACCATGAAGCCATTCTTTCCAAACATTTGGGTCCCGACCTGAAATGTGGATTCATAATCAAAACTATATTGTGTATTCAAATATATTAAACAGTGGGCCTTAATAGAAACTCGTGGAGTCTCTGTCTGTCTGTAAACCAGGAAGCAGGAATGTCAGCTATAGCCTTTCTTTCTCTGTTCACAATAATGTTCATGCAGAAGTCTAAAATGAATTTTAACTTGCAACACAGTAGAAGAAGTTTTACAAAATAGAAAAAAAATCATTTTAGCAAAAAGCTGCGTGTGTTTTGGATGTCTGGGGTCGTCAAAGTGGGGACACCATGGTTGGTAACCACTGGCCTAAGTCTTAGTGAATTATTTCATTTTTGAAGGTTTTTTTTTCTTTTAAGTGTTTGAAAATATAATTAGTCATCTTTCCTCTCTATTTCAAGAAAAGTGAGAAGGAAACAAAATGGTCATAAGAAATAAAATAAGCATTTTTTCCTTTCGAAATCTTAATTTAATTATCTTTTTTCTCTTTGTACCTTTTCTTTAGATTTTTCTTTATTTTTATTTTATTTCATGTTGTATGTATTCTTGTATGTTTAAAAAATTATTTATAGAAATGTGCCAGGATGAACAAAATGTGTGATGAAATATGGCAACTTGTAATGTCGTAAAACAGCCTGCAATGAAGGATTTTTAAAAAGAAGAATTAAAATAACAGTCAGGACACAGAAGCCATGAAACAAACCAGGCGGAGACTCTCCTGTCTCTGTTCTCCAGGAAAGGGTTGAGGTGCTGTAGCTCATCTGAAATTATAATCTGTCACTGAATTATTGATGTAAATAATTCTGAATTCCCGACTCTTCCCCTAATTACCTCTTTTTCTGTTCCCACCAGGACGGCCCTGAAGCTGGACAAACTGTGAAGGTGAGAACTCAATAATTCACTGCCTTTAAATATGTCATGAAGCCTCCGCAACAGTTACACACTATTAAATAATCATCACATTTGCCGTGCTTAACTCTTGGCATGTCTGAATTATTCAGAGAATCTTTTCTTAAAGGTTTGAACCACTTTCGGTTTTGGTTTGGGGGGCTGTCAGGAAGATCCAAAGAGGCCGGCTGGGGACCCTCAGCGGTCCACATGTGTTAAAGTGAGGGACAGAAAATGATCAGTCACTGCAACCCCACTCCATCCTCACACACGATCACTGTGCGCTCTGTTTTTTGGGACACTATTTTATAGACAAATACACTTAATAAAGCCGTCTAGATCATTTCAGGAGGACTGCTCTGGAGATTCTCCTGACGTGGCTGTTCACATATGAACCTCACAGCGGGGGACTATCTCTGTCAGACGGGTGGAGGGGGGCCGGGGGTCAACCCTCACTCCATTCACCTTGCAGCAGTCACAGTATATAAACATCACCCCCCACCCCCTCCCATTGGCTCAAGCTGAATTCTCCTGATAATATCCTGCTGTGTTCTCACATCGGCTCACTCTTGCTTGCTGCAGCAAAAATACTCGGGGTCTGTCAGGAGAAACTGCAGGTGAAGTCCGAGCGAATAATTTGGCAGTTTGCGTTCACAAACTGTGAAAGTGTGAAAGCCCTATAAGACTTGAGTTTTTGTAAAGAGGCCTCAGAAACCAAATCCCAAAAAAAACTACACCAACAGACAAATGAGAGTGGACTGCGTTCTCAGTCTGCATCACTTCCGTCTCGTGCACTTGGCAAATTCATACACACCAACTCTCAGCCTTTTTTTCATTCTTTACAATAATGTTTCTTCAATATTAATTTAAACAGCCTTTTAACGACTTTGTGGAGAAACAGTCTAAAAGTTTGCACCTTTAACTGTAATGGTGTTACATTTTATTTGAAGACAACAAAGACACACAAATAAGGCAATAAATATCAGTGGGGCATTCAGTTCAGATGTCTGCCCCAACTTAAGAGTAATGTTATACTGTTACTCGAACATACAGAATTATTTTGTTCCAGACCTCAAGTACTACTAACACTCTTTACCCAGACCAGATACACTCTCTAAACTCAATCTGGTGCTTTCACACCGGCACAAAACCTCCTCAAATGTCCGTGGTGAGCTGCATGTGTGAACACAAACAGCAGAATTTTTCTCTCTGACTTGACCCAGACTTCTGCCAGCCCCCTTTTTGGATTTTTGGTATGAAGTCGGGCCGAGCTGGTGGGAGAATGCAGCAGGAAATATTTAGGAAAATCCACAGCGAGCTCAATTCAATTCAATCCAAAGCTTAATTGTCATTTAGTTGTACATGCAACATTAGTGCAAGCAAAATGAGAGAGTGTTTCTCACCAGGAGCCAATAAAAATACAATAAATAAGACACAATTAAAATACTCACACACACACACACACACACACACACACACACACGTACATCCCATGAGTTCTCAGTGACTGTGATTCCTGAGATATAAATGAATATAAAACTAGAACTAAGGCTAAGACTTAATTGTTCCAGGTCAGCAGTTCAGCAATCTAACAGCTTGTAAATATGTCGAACTACATGTAGCATTGATACAAAGGCGACGTATCTCATTATAGCGTCAACATCTGTTGCTTCATATGCGCTTCTGCATTTTTCTTTATATGCACGTTATGTCTTTTGACCTCCCCCCTCACATCCGACAGGAATAGTCTCCCGCTGTGAGGCGCGTGTGTCAACAAGCAAACGGACGGCTGGTTGGTTATTTCATCTCTGAACTGCTCTTGCTTGGTAACTGCTGCTTAACAAACACTAAAATGTGCACTCGCTCATTTCATAGATAATACTAAAGTCAAATGTCCTACTGTCCAGGAACGTGTTTTTCTATCTCCTACCTCCCTCTCTCTAAAAAAAGCAATCTCCTCTGTGTGCCTAAAGAGAACAGTGTCTCTTTTAAAGATCTTTATTTTCCCATTTCCACAACAACCTCCATTTTTCATCGACAGATTGTGTGAGATGAAATGGCTTTCATCCGGCAACACAAACAAGGTCAAAGAGTAATGCATTTTTTTTTGCTTGAGTCCAGTTAGGTTCACAGCAGCAGGTAGGTACTTTAGAATTACCACAATCTCAGCAGCAGCAGCAGCTGTATAAGAACCCTTTAGTGGAGAGCTTGTGACTGCAGGAGAGAACATCAGGGGAGCGGTGAATCAAGGCGCTAATATCGAAGCTGTTGTTCTCCACTGGTTCTTAACTCACTGAAATCATCTACATATTTTATCAAGTCATTCTGATACAAAGCAACTCTTCATGTGCAGAGACCGGTCTAGTCTTTTTATGAAAACAGATTATCGTAGCTCATATAGCACACCTGCTGCAAGAGCTGGCCACCCCCATCTATCACCTGGGTTATTGCAATCAGGCGCCCGCACGCCGGCAATAAAAAACGGTCCTTTGATTGAATAAGAGCGAGGCGGGCTATAAGAGAGAGGCAAATGCACTCCTATAAACTCAGCGCCTGGAGTCACACAGACACAAGACAGATCTCAGCGTTTTGAATGATGGAATTGGATTTTATTTTTGTCTTATGGAAAGTGCGGTGTGATTACAGTGATTTATCATGTGCAGGCCCCCATGTATAGATCCTGCTTGTTTACTAAGCAAGCCTGGCGGTTATATATGAGCTTTTATGGATAAAGATGATGAGATGTAATATTCACAAAGTAGACGGTATTGAAAACAAACTCACTCGGCTATATATATTTTTTTTCAAATAGCTGAGCAGTGGATACAGATAGAGAAGGATGAGTGGGAGGCAGAGAGAGACACAAGAGAGGAGTGATTGGTTTTGATATGTAGACGTATACGTATCGACAGAAGATTAGCACCAATACTTTAGTGGCTTACGACGTCATTACTGGAGTGTTTGAACGTGTGAGACCCTTCAGATACACAATCAGACTAAATCTGTCAAGCTCATGTTTCTTTACATTTTAGATTTTATTAAAAACCTACAAAATGCACTGTTTCATATTTAGTCATGTAAATATTAGTCTTTTCTTATTATGTTTATTGTTGATATTTAATGTTGTACCTGTACATAAGAGAGCACAGTTCACCGAAGTTAAATTCCTTGTTTGTGTCAGCATACCTGGCCAATAAATCTGATTCTGATTCTAATTAGAAAAAAAATCACAACGTTTCAGTCCTTCTGAACCTTTGTCCAGTGTGTTCTTCAGGAGGACGTCAAGCAAGAGTAGTGTGAGTGCAGGATTTTTTGTCTTTTCAGTGTGCCAGTGTGACGTCCTCAGCACCTACTTCATAACCCCAAATTCACACATTCCGTGCACGCTGATTTTTTTAATTGAATTGATTTTTCATCAATTTATCAACATTACACCGAATGAACAACAAATCTTCCTCGGTAAGACAAAAAGCAACATGTCGTTTGCGCGTTTTTCTCATTATTCCCGTGTGATCTTGTACTTCTCCTGTGATAGTTGTACAGCTGCTCATGGGTGCGCTCTGCTGCGCTCACGTGCTGCAAGGAGCGTGCCGTCCGACTGTATTCACAAAAATAGTTAATAGTTCCTGCATTGTGGAATCACAAAAAAAAGGGGGAGTGTTCCAACAGTTATGTAAGTGTGAAATAGATCCTGCGGTCAGAAAACTCCTGCGGCTAACTCCTTCTGCAGAAAGGATACCGTCTCACAGTTATTGAAATGAAAATCTGTGGGATTGTAAATCTTTTCTCCTGCAGCTCTATAGAGCTATAGTTTTATGATATGTTTGATCTTTCCTTCTGAGAGAAACAAGAGAATATTCATATCACTCTGGTGTTAAGTAGCTTAGCATAAATGTGCAGACAGAGGGACATTGCTAACCTGAATATGCTGTCAAACTAACCACCTGTATCTATCTCTAATGTTTAAGGTAATATTGATATAAATATGACGGCATGTTACTGAAGCTTCAGTGTTTCTCGACACATCAGTTCTTTGCATGACTGTCTGCAGCTTCTTGAAATGTCTAACACAGAGTGACAGCTCTACCGAGTGGTTCTGAAAGCTCTATTTTCTCTGTCAAAATACAATCAGGGATCGATCTTTATAGACGTCTTGAGTAATTCTTTTCAGACTGGACACTTGTGATGTGTGCCTTCTTACTGTGTGTAAAGTGCCAATGATGGTTGCCCATTCAGCTAACACTGGCATCAGAGATTGAAAACAAAAAATCGTCTGGAGAGCTGGAGCTGAGGCGGGTTTTAAGCCTCTTGACAAACCGTTACACCGCGCCCACCTGTCAATCATGTCAGCTTCCTGCCTTCTTGTGAATAACTCTTATCCTTCATCAAATCAAAACTAAGCGTGTGCCGATCGAGACATGAGCTCATCCGACCTCTTTTGTTTTTATGAACCAGGCTGTAAACGTGGTGATTCCTGCTGTAAAAACGGCTTTTTTGAATGGGTGTGTATGTGACTCAGCCTCAAGTGGACAGTCGACGTACTGCAGGATTTTGTTCTTCCTCTGCTTCGTTTTTTCAAACCCAGGAGGTTGCCAATTGACTATAAGTCAAACTTAGGAGATGGATTTAGTGCGGTGCCTTACTCCAATCAGCCAGGTTCAATTCCTCACATTTGTTGGGACGATCTGTGCTCTTAGTGAACATTTATTTTTTTCTGCTCTGAGCCATAGTAAGAAAGTCAGGTCAGGAAGTCACAGCAGACTTTGTTTCTTTGCAGTTGTTTAAAGCTGCTCTCTGTTACAGTTCCTTCCCTCTGAGCACTGAATTAAATCAAGCTCCATTAGAACCTATTTAGGCGGACCGAAAGGGCACAGAGTGGTGGGAGTAGAAAGGTGGCTGGAGATGACGCAGTGGGAGTTTCCAGTGAGAAAATAAGCCAATAGAAATGGACGATATTGTTCTGTTTACTGCAACGGCAACACATTTGGGACCGT